GAATGGACTCGGGTGCAAAAAATATTGATATAGCTGTGGAAAGACTTTGAGGAGAGATTGTAAATCTGGGTTAGTTTAGTTTAGGAAGATTTGATATGTCAAATGATGAGTTGTATACAGAAAGTAAATCAGGACTCTTTTTATCCATTCTTACAGTAGAAGGGCAAGGGAAAATTAAAAGAAATTGAAAGGTAGAAAAACTTTTTCAAGTTTCATTATTCTTTGGCACTTAGCGATGTAATGTGAAACAGTGAGGTTCAAAAGGGGACATTTATAGCATGGATTTTCAAAGGGGTATCATGGTAGCTAAAAGAATTAGGTGCTGAACTCCCATGAAATCTTTGAAAAATTCTAGTATGTATGGATAAGTGTAACCTCTGTAGAGAGTTAAATGGAATTCGAAAATTGTTTAGAAAATAGATATGCAGGCCACATCATTGTTCATTTGTAGCAGTGGAAATTTTTGCCCCTGTTCCTTGTGCCTTTCTGAGTCTGGTGTGATCCTGGTCTGGGAAAGTCTGGGCTGCAAGCTATAGTCTTCCTGTTCTTGGGAGAGTGAAGCAGCAGGGCAAAGCCCATTTCTCAGTCTGTCTCTGGTCTGAAAAGCTTTTGAGACCCCAGCATGAGCTGAGAAGCTCTGGGGACCCTGGTGTGTCAGAAGTCAGTGGAGAGCAGCTTGGGGCTGCCCCTTCCCTCCCCTTCCTGTCTATTTGGAGGGGAGAGAGGGAGGGGGCAGGGAGAGGGAGCAGCTGCCCCCTATGATTACTCCAGACTGGTGTGATCCTTTCCCCATGGTTCCACTCCTCCTGGGTCCTGGGAGAAGTTAAGCAGCAGGGAAGCGTATAAGTAGTGCAGTGGAATGGGGGAACATCCACCTGCCTCAGTGGGTACAGGCAGACAAGGTTCCTTGGGTGAATCTGATATCTTTTATTGGACTAACTCAGTGGGTACAGGGCATGCAGCCTGGGGGCTTGTGGCCCCTGCTAGTGCTACTCCTGTGGGGTACACCTCCCACTGACATGTCTTATGGGGCATGTGGCCCCTGGCTGCTTTGAAGTCAGGCAGCTCTGCCTCAGAGTATAAGCTGCTAACTTTTGGGAAAGAAATTCCCCTTATGAACATTTTATTTCATAGTTATCTACTCTGTCATTTCTTGCATTTCTGAAATATCTGTGCACCGCTGGAGATGAGAGATACTGGACTAGGTAGAAAACTGTTGTGACCTGCTATGATAGTTTCTGTAAGTTTATTATTAGGTGGTTTGCAGTCATGAGAAACAATAGAGTCTTTATATGCAGGTTTATTACTTTATACTGTGCTTCTCTGTTCCAGAATGTTTGAATTTTTTTATTTTTTTTATTTTTTAGGTTCCAGTCTGAAAGAGAGAGTGGAGATAGAAATTTTGCAATAGGCTATTACTTGAAAGAAAAAAAGGTTTATGGATCTTTTGTGTATCAACTTTACAAGCCTTGTATTATTTTTTAGTCTTATGCTCTTCTCTGTTGTATAGACTGATATTACTGACAATGTTTAAAACATTACGCAAGTCCTACAGTATTTCTCAAATAAGTTTTGTGAAGCTACAAAAAATGTAGACACATTCAAAAAAGTTACTAGAACATCTTTCACCTTATTTTTGCAAATTTGATTAATGATTCTAAAGCTACGTTCTTTAAACTTTTTTTAAATACTTATTTTTTGCAGCAAAACCAACATTTGAAAAAATGTATGTGCAACTTTAAGTGCTTCAATATAATGTTAAAGAGTCGTTGCAAACATTTCACAAAGATGTTTTAGTGCCTAGTGTAGCTGGCTGTATGATATTTGTATTTTTTTTAAATTGGAAGTCCTCTCTTATTCTGGAGTGTTAATACTTTTTTATTTTTAAAAGTTAAAAAAATTAAAATTTAATTACACTTAATTTAATTTGACATTTTGCATATTGACAGCAATTTAGTTTGACTTTTTGATCTTGAATTTTATTTAGTGTGTGTGTGTGTGTGTGTGTGTGTGTGTGTATATGCAATTATATTGTGTGTGTGTGTGGTTTGTGTGTGTGTGTAATTACTTTCGTTAAGCCAACATGTTTTTAAAAGATTCCTTTTACTACTTTCCACAGTGTTTTCCAGAAGGCACAGATATGGTTGCTATATTAGACTTCTATTTCCAGGTAATTCCTACTAAGTAATCTTGCATACTTTTTGTGGACTTGGATTTAAGCAGCCCAAGCTGAATTATTCATGCATAAACTGAGTCATTAATGCCATTTAGTTAAGCTTGAATTTAAGTTTGCTCTGCTTGCTATTTGGGAATGAACAAATGTATTTGAAGTATCAAAACTGTTTTTGCTGATTTACAAGTTTCCATTGCTTGTGTAGATTGTAAAAACTCAGTAAGAGAATGTATGGTGGTTTGAGTTAAGGATATCTGCATTATTCATAAGGGGTTTTGACAAATTATTAGGCTTCTCTGTTGCTCTTTCTTCATTATTACATAATGGAAGGCAGGGGAGGGTGACACATTAGAGCAGCCATTTTTCAAACTTTTTAGACTCAAAGCACCCCTCAGAAAATACCATCTTTTAGTTTTCACTCATTTTTTGACTCCATAAAAATAGAGCAATTTTTCTGTTGCAAAGAATTCAAAGACCACAGCAGGTCAGAATGTAATGTTGAACTCTCTGGGTTTATCTTGTGAATCATATTTGCACACCTAACAGTGTTAACAATGTATGGCACCCCCACATCACCCTTAAAAGGCACCCTTCTCAAGGCACCCTGGTTGAGAATAACTGCCTCAGGGACTACCTGGTTCAGCAAGGCATCACCATTTCTAGGCTACAACCCACTTTGTTGAATACTGTCATCCTTAGCCATCTTTTGGGAGGGGAAACTTTAACTTTATAGTATGAATACAATCCCATTATAGTATGTATACAATAATGTGCATACATTTTATTGGTAATGTTGAAGTAATGTCGTTGCCATGATGGTCCAGGAAATATGCAAGAGGAACTAATTTTTCTGGGCGATATGCTGGTCTAATAAAAGCTGTCTGGGACATAGACAGTCTTTCAGGTATCATCCAAATTCTTGCCATTATAATTTATTGAAAGTTTAAAGATTAGCACCATATTTACCCGAATGCAAGATGATGTAAAATTTTAGAACAAGCCTTCAATAATTAGATTCTATACCTGATGAATTTTATAAAATTGTTATGATTTTTCCTACATAGAATCTAATTATGGGAGGGTAATCATAAATTTGCACCACTTCCCCTACCACCAATGCAGCATGGAAAGCAATACCAGGGGTGGGAGAGAGAGAACAAGTTGCGAGAGAGTCAAGCAGCCTGATTCCTCCTTTGACCTCTGTTTAGGTTCTCTCTGCTGCCTACATGCCTCACCATCCTCCTTTTCCGCTTACCCTCAGTTGCGGTTCTGGTTTGGGGCATGGAACATATGGTGGATCTGGCCCTTGCCTGGCCAGGCAGCAGAAGTTGTGGTGCCTGGGTTGGAGCTGGGACAAAAGCTGCTGCCACTACCGTTGCTGCTGCCTGACCAAGTTGGGGCCAGAGCAACCATGCCTCAGGTCCAAGTGTGGCCAGAACTGGAGCCATGACTGAAGGTAAGCGGGGGGCAGAGGCAGTGAGAGGCAGGTGGCAGTGGAGTGGGGGGCAATGGCTTTGACTCTGACGCTATACCTCATGCTAGTCTCACCTATCTGAATTTCTGGTCACATGCCCTTACCCACTGATTTCTGTACCAGTCTCCTTCCTATTAGCTTTTTTCTCCCAGTCTCTTGTCCATCTTGTCTCATTTCTCTCCTTGTATTTCACCTCTATTCCATATTTGTCTTTTTATATTCTCTTGCCTATTTCTCTTACCTATACCCAGCTCCTCATCCTGTCTCAGTTGTTTCCCTGATCCTAGTTTCCCCTTCTTCTCCCACTAAGGAATTAAGTCCAAGCCTGGTTCTTGCTCCTGGAAGAACATTTTCTTCTTCCATGCTGCCTGGTTACAATAAGGGTCATAACAAGCACAGGAAACAACCATGTACTTTCAGTCTGTCCTGTAAAGGATGTTCTGCTCATCCCTGTGCTGAATGTGTTAATATGAGTGGAATTCTCAGGGACTTTAAGCTACTAAAATCTATGAAGTATCTGTTTGCAAACCTTAACTTCTCAAAGCTTATAATTTGGCCTAAAATGGACAAGTTACATACCTAACTGAGAGGCCACCCCATGCTAAATTTTGGGTCTGCTATACAAAGTATGAGGTTGCTTGGAAGTTTTAAAAGAAAAGATTGTTAGAATATATGTGTATATTTTTATCATGAATGAATGCATTTTTCCTGTCCTGGTTTTTGGAAATGACTAGTGTTCTGGCGAAGATTTTCTTTGTAAAAATACATATTTATATAAATAAATCAGTCTAAGCTGGACATCCAGCTCGGAAACTTTAGCTCAGACTGTAAAAATCTGGCAAAGTTGTAAGTGACTGAAAACAGGATCTTACACCAGAAGTGTCAGGCATTCTTAATACTAGAAGCTTCTACTAGCCCCACTTACGAGAATTAATTGTTTTATTAAATTATTATAACATCATTTGTATGGAGACACTGGGTCACTGCCCTTTAGCATGCTGTAGATATATAGACATTTTATGTGCATATAAATTATTTTCTCTTCTATAAGCTGTGTTCTATTGAAGTGACCTGTGAATCAGCCAGTGTGATGGCAGCAACTTTGGCTAATGGTGGCTTTTGCCCAATCACTGGTGAAAGAGTACTGAGTCCTGAAGCAGTCCGCAATACCCTGAGTTTAATGCATTCTTGTGGCATGTACGACTTTTCAGGGCAGTTTGCCTTCCATGTAAGTAACTTTTGTATGCTAATTGCATCTGGCAAAGAAAACTGATTTATGTTGTTTTTTGAATAAACATCCCAAACTGATCGTTCTGTACTTCAGTTGTCTTATTCATTGCTCAGAGACTTAATACAACATTGTTTGGAAGTATGTTATCTAAGAGCCCTCAAATTAATCATTATAAAGCATTGCAGATGCTTTTTATTGATACGTTTAAATTTGAGAGCAAACAAATTTAACTTTAAAGAGGTATCTTTAAATATTGTAGCCTAGATTGAAAAAGCATAAGATTGAAACAATCAGCTGAAAAAAATCCAAAATTAAGGCCTTGTACAGACATTCATTTCCTCCTGGGAGAGTTGCCTCTCTCTCTAGAGAAACCACAAGTATATAGATGTTCAAGCTTTTTCTCCCAGGGTTAAAATGGCTGTTTAAAGAGAAAAATAACCTGGGAACAACTAGAGTTAAATCACTGCCAGGAGAGTTTCTCCTGATAAGAGTGAATGGTCTGTCCATGCTGTGGCTTCTCTCAGAAGAGAACATAGTCCTCCAGCATGCGCCCTGTGAGACTATGTGGTTTGCTGGAGACTGCTGCCCCAGCAGGAGGCAGAACATGTCCCCCTCACAAATCCTTACATTGTGCTGCAAGGAAACACAGGCTGACAATGAGCAGTCTGCGTCAGCCAATCAGGGCTGCCCCATGCACTGCTGCCATCTGTTACCAGGCAGATTAAAGGAACCTGCAAAGCATGCTGAGATGTGTTCACAGTCTGTCCGTCCATACCTGTCCCACCCCTCCCTACTTCCACCCCCTCCCCAGGCTCCACAGTGTCAGCTTTGTAAGTTCTCCACTTGTTAGGCCTCAGCATTTGAATGTTTATACATGTGGCTTTGGGCGAGGGTTTTTTTTTTCCTACCATGAGAACAGCTCTGGTAGAATCATCTCCCGGATTATTTGAATGCATGTACACAACCTAAATTAGAATCATGCACACACGCATTTACTCTGTCCTATTTAGCCTGTCTTAAATTGCCTGGTCTAGTGTCTTATTAAAGAATGAACAGCATGTTACATACTTCCGATGTCTTTATGCAGTGCATTCTGCATGCTTAAGTTTTCAAGTACTAGAAATGTTACTACACTTTAGTTGTTTTTGCCCTTCGTTTTGAGCCCTTTCAGTCTTTTCATTACGTGCTTATACATTTGGTAAAATTAATTCTGATGGTTTGAGGGACCTAAAAGCTTCTTAATCTTGAGTTTACAATACTTACTAGTGTAATTGATGTTTGATGACGTGACTTAAGATGCACAGTTAATTGAGGTACAAACCATTTTTGTTCTGATGCTCATATTTTACCTTTTTCAGCTAAAGGTAGGGTTTATATTAATTGTACATTAATAATGATTTTTTTGGCATGTCATTGTTGGAAATCATGAATGACTTGTTAGATACTGTATTTACTTAACTATAAAAAACCCTGAATGTAAGATGACCCCCCCCCCCCCATTAGATTCTACATATGGGAAAATGTATAATTTTTTGTTATAATTTTCCAGGTAAAGAATCTAAATATTGGAGGGTGTCTTGAGCACCCCGACTCCCACTCCCCTCTCCTCTCCTTCCCCCACCACCACCACACATACGCCACTGGAAGCTCAAACCTGCCTGGCTATGCAGCAGTGTTGCTGATTGGCTGGGCTAGCAATGCAGCAACTTTGGCACTGCTGATTGGCCAGGCAGGGGAAGAAGTTTCCATGTGCTATGTGCCTGGGAGAGACCCCAGCCTGAGCTGGAGCCAGGCTGTGCCTGGCAGTAATGGGGAGGGAAAGTAGGAGAGCAGAAGTTGTATAGGGGAAGCGGAGGGAGGGGCAGGAGGCTGTGGGCCTGACTCTGGCCCCGACTTGGGCTCGGGACCACAGTCAGAGCTGAAGCCAGCCGCTTGCTCCTCCTCCTGCTTTGTATGTGAATATAAAACAAGAAGTTTTTTCCCCCCATTGATGGCGGGGGGGATCTCACCTTGTATTTGAGTATATACAGTAGCTATGCGTTGCCACCTTTCTGCTGTATTACACAGACCTGGTTATATTCTGTGCTCTACCACTGACTGGCTCTCTAACTCTAGGGAAGTAACTGCTCTGTACCTTAAATTGTCTGTGTCAAATGAAGTTGATAATGGTAACCCATTTGCAAAATTCTTCATGACTTCTAGTTTATAAGTGCTATATAATGGTGGTGTATGAAAGTGCTAAGTGTTATAATATGAAAGATAGAAATGTTAACAGAGCACACTAATTCTTTCAATTACCTATAGGTTGGTCTCCCTGCAAAATCTGGAGTTGCAGGTGGTATTATTTTGGTTGTTCCTAATGTAATGGGCCTGATGTGCTGGTCACCTCCTTTGGACAAGATGGGAAACAGTGTTAAAGGGATTCATTTTTGTCATGTAAGCAAAGCTCCCCCCCCCCCTCCCAAACTAATATTTATTGAAATTATTTAAGTTCACTCTGGTTTGATTTTATGTTCCTTTGACCTCCTAGACCAGGATTCAGCAACATACAGCCTGCAGGCTGGATCTGGCCTAGGGATCCTTTTATGTGGTCCGCAACTCTGCTGGAGCTTTAGCAGAATTTCAGCTGTAGGGGGCTTCACTTGGGCATCAGGGAGAAGTGGTGGCAGTGGTACTGCAGTGGGGAGCGGTAGCTCTGGTTCTGGTGGTTCAGGACTGGCTTGGAGATGGCTCGTGCTAGATGCTAAGGGCAAAGTTAGATGTTATGTTTAGACCAGGGGTCAGCAATGGTTTTGGGCAGAGTGCCAAAAACACCCCAACCTTGACTTGCAAGATGTTGGCATGCCAGTAGTGAGCGGCGGGGAAGCCACGAGGGGCTTGATCCTTGTTGTAGCAACACAGCATCCTCATCATCTGCCCCAAGACTCATGTGCCAAGCAGAATACCTTTGTCACGCTCTGGCGCACGTGCCAGGGGTTGCCAACCTTTGACTTAGACCAGGAGTTCCCAAACTGATATGTATACCCTGGGGGGTACGCAAGACACATCTGGGGAGGTATGTAGGAGAAATTGTATAATGGCGGATTTAATTTTCATTACATTTTCTCCAGAGCAGGGAGAGCCCAGATGTCCTAGCTGTTAGCAATTCCCCTGCTTGCCATTTCTGTAGTGGCAAGTCAGACCTATGCAGGCAAGAAGCAGTAGTAACCCTTAGTGTGGGACTGCTCACAGCACATTTTAACTTTAACGCTGCTTAACATTTCACAGATTTATCATGGTCTAAGTATAATGTTTAATTTCACCTTAAGCTGTACTGAAGTAGGCCCCTGCTGCAAAAAGTTGCTGGCCCCTGCTCTAGGCCCATCAGGCTTATTTTCTCCCTTTTTTTGCAAGTTTAATTCAAAATAAAATTTAGTTCCAGACTTTGCAGGCATTTAAAAGATATGATTTTTAAGCCAGGGTCACTCGGCCCTTGGCCCACAGGCCAGATCCAGCTGCAGCACCATGTCATCCAGCCCATGGGGCTCCCCATGGGTTTAGAAATTTGGTGGTGGGGAGCAATGTCACTGCTCTCTTGCTGCCAAATTTCCTGATCCATAGGGAGCCTGGGCCCTGTGCACTGGATTGGATACCTGATCCCAGCAGTCGGAGCTGGGCAGGGGTGGTGCTGGGCTTGAAGGCCCAATCCCATTTCGGGGTGGAGGGGTCAGTGGGGTGGTACTGGGCGCCAGTCCCAGCACTTGGGTTAGGGGGAGGTGGTGCTGGACTCCTAGCACCCAGTCTTAGTGCACAGGGCTTGAGTTTTTCTCTATATAGAAGTGTAACTTTGGCCAATATAACACCATTCTTATTTTATCAGCAGTGAAAGTATTCAATCCAGTTATTGCCATGCCAGTGTGTCAGAAGTACGTGGCATTTATAAAAAGTCTTTCAGTGAATAATACATACAAAGTCAAAGGTGTGACTGCAGTTTGTGTAGCTATGCTCAAGCTAGCTTTCAAATAGCAAGCTGCGCTACCAATAGCATGATAGCTTTATCAGCACAGGGCTCAGCGGGGGCTGCAAAACCCACCAAGGTCCCTGGATGAATATCTAGACAGCTAGCCTGTGGTGAGCTGGTTGAAATCTTTGTCTACATGAGTTGTAGTCACACCTTTTGGCTTTGTATGTGTTACTTACTGGAGGACTTTCATAAATGCTATGTTAACATGATTTTGAAATCAGCTGCATAACCCTTTTTTTCATTACATTAATTAAGAATATTGTTAATTCTAATCCAAGTACATTTTTAAGTCATGTATCAAAAAGCCATATCTTATGATTGAATTTCAGACTTACTAGGTAAACAGAGGAATCTAATGAGAGATCTAATAACTGATAAACTGGCAGTCTTCACATATTGACAAAATGTGTCAAATGTCTATAAAAACAGCAAAGAAAAGCTACATGCCAATAGTACTTGTAATTGCATTTTCCCATAGGGATTTTTATTTAATTAAATTAAAAATCAGTGACTACATTGATTCTTCCTTGTTTAAAAGCTGAGAGCACTGAAATGTTGCTACGGTAGACAACTCTGAAGCATATATTACAAAGTTGCATGTAGATGCATGAGAGAATTGTATACATGAGCACCGAATTACTACCAATTATAATTTTGTTTTTAGAAGGCGTTTGCTAAAAATATGTTTAAAACTTGATATACATATATTATAATAAAGACAAAATGTTTTAAGGTTGTTTTGTAAATGGTGTAATCCACCAGAGGCTACTCTTATGAGTGTTAAACTTAGTTACTAACATTTTTGGTGAAACAATTACTGAAAGTTAGTAATGTCTGCTGTGGGTGAAATGTAATAAAATAAGTTGTCAGGTATATAAAAGATGAGGTTTCTCCTTTTACAGGATCTGGTTGGTTTGTGCAATTTCCATAACTATGATAACCTGAGACACTTTGCAAAGAAACTTGATCCTCGCAGAGAAGGTGGTGATCAGCGGGTAAGCTAGATATGTTTTTTGACCAAATATTTTGTGTAGTCTTTAGATGGAAAATGCAGGGTTCATCTGTAAGCATAAAACTGCTCAATAACATTTATTGCTTTAAGCTTAAGCAAATATAACAGTTTAGTTCACTAGCACACTATTTATAAGCATGTTTGTCCTATCTATGACTGGGTTTATATAATTATAAATACAATTTGAATAAGATTTATAGTTGCTGAAGAGTTGAGCATTTCTTTACCCTAGGTAGAGTGAATGTATGATATTCACTAAAAGCCATAAGTTTTACAGTTGTACTTTCTTTGTACTTGATATTTGATTGACTGGCCTAGTCTTACTGTCATCCACTGCTATGCATGATGTGCAAGTTCACTGTTTTTTACATTGTTGTCACTGAGACCAGAGGACACAGAGTGTATTCCAGAGGCAGTTCACTCAGTGTTGTGTGTAGGGGAGG